TGCTGTTGTTATTTCTAGGTTCTTAATATGGATAATGACATCTTGTCTCCCCGTTTCCCAGCATTAGAGTTTCTAATCTTCTACCCATTATACTCACTTCTCTGAGCCTCTCTTTTTTAAAAATCTATTTATTTTTACTTTATGTGTATGAATGTTTTGTATGTATGTGGTGGGGGCCCACAGAGGCTCCCTAGTAAGGTCTTACTCACAAGGTCAGAGAGTCTGAGCTTGCTTTACCCAGCAGGGCTGCATAATGGGATGATTTGGCCAAGGGTGTGGTTACCAGGTGTTTTGAAGGGTCTATGCTTGTTGGTACTTTGTGCTTCGACCTTGAAAGGGGGAGGTCTTTTGCTCCTCCCCTTGCTGATGTATAAAAAGTCCATCATGATTAAACCCGGGCAACTGGGTATTGACCCAGGGCCCTCCCGAAGCTATCCTGTGTCTCTGTCTTTCTCTCCGTCTACGTCTATATTTCTTCTATTATTTCTCAATTCCTCACTCCTCCCCTCAAGAACCCTCGACAGGTCAGAGCTGGCCTCCAACAGTATGTGCATCACATGTGTGCCTGGTGCCTGGGAAAGCCAGAGGTTGGCCACTGGATCCCTTGGAAACTGGAGTTAGAGGTAGTTATTAGCCAAAGTGTAGGTGCTGGGATTTGAACCCAGGTCTCCTAGAAAGGCAGCTAGTGCTCTTAACCACTGAGCTACCTCTCCAGCCCCTCAATTCCATTCTTTAGCTCTGTACTTGCCCTCATAGCTTTAATAGCTCTTTTGCCTCACTAGGGGAAAGCTGCTCACTCATCCCCAAACATGTTACTCAAGTCAAAAGTTCAAAGGCTTAGAAAAAAAGAACAATAAATGAACAGTCGTTCTCCTGTTCACCAAATCCACGTAATTTTTTAAATATTTCTTTGGCAATATCTTTGTGCTTATTATCATAGTACCATAAGACACGGTGGAACAGATGAGAATTTGAGAAGGAATGCTCGAGACTAATGCTGCTTTTAAAATTCCACAGGGGCAGCCGGGCGGTGGTGGCCTTTAATCCCAGCACTCTGGAGGCAGAGCCAGGCGGATCTCTGTGAGTTTGAGGCCAGCCTGGTCTACAGAGTGAGATCCAGGACAGGCATCAAAACTACATGGAGAAACCCTGTCTCGGGGAGAGGGGGCGGATCCTCAGGGGCAGAGTTGTGTGCTCCTGATGAAGTGAATGAAAGAGCTAGTAATGACTAAATCTGCACAACTATTTAGCAGAGTTGATCATGCTGACCAGAAAAAAGAAACAAAGTGGTGTGCTTGCTATCCCTGCTGGCTGCAGAAGTCCTCGAGTGAGCTGTGACGTCATCGAGCGGCCCGCACCTCCTGTGCTGGAGCCAGCACGCTGGACTGAACCTTCTTTGTTCTGCTGGTGGAGAGTCTGCCACCTCTACCAAGTTGTCCTCAGGAATGTCGTTCCAGAAATAAGCCGCCTGGCATTCATGAGTCACACACAGAAGTTAATTCATCTGAGCCACTGGCTTTTCTTAGGCCCTTTGTATCTCAGCAAGCCCCTCAGGGTTTCTCCTCAGCGCTTCCCTCACGTCCTCTGTCCAGGCTTCCCTCCACTGCTTTCTATTTGACTTTCCCTGACAACCGTTATCTGCAGACCCAGATAACAGAGGCAGAGGTGGATCCGGCTGAATTCTGAAGTGCTCCAGGAAAGCCTGTCAACCCACCTACCCAGAGACACTCATCACATGCCAGCCCAGCCCCTCCTCTATGTAGAGCAGGATGTCAGACACACTTGTGAGACAGCCCACCGATGACTAATTCCATCATCTATATCGTAAGGTAGAGCCCGATACAATGGTTCACCTTTTTTCTTTCAAATGTGCAGATGCATTTTAAGAGGTAATAATTAAATTTATAAATGACAACATAAAACTGATATGGCCCTTGTTAATCACTAACCTGAATTGTTATGTAATTTTTCATACATTTTATATTCTAGAATATTTTAGTGTTTTTTTTTTAAAGATTTATTTTATTTTTGGGGTGTGTGTGTGTGGTATGTGTACATGCCATGTTTGTGCAGGTGTCTGTGGATACCAGAAGAGGACATTGGATCCCTTAGAGTTGGAGTTTCAGGGGTCTGCAAGTTGCCCAGTGTGAGTGAGTGCTGGAACCGAACTCTGGTCCTTCGCAAGAACAACAAGCGTTAACTGCTGAGTCGTCTCTCCAGACCCTTAGGCAGAAATACACAGTTAAGATAAAAAGTAAGGAATGTGGGGTGTGACTAAGAAGGGAATGTGTCTCAGAGCCCTGCCGTCTCTGCTCCCCAACAGCTAATGCTTGGATGGCGGCGCCTTGCAGACCTTTATAAAGAACGTGTGCGTGCTCACATGTGCACTTATGCAGGTAGTTTTATGTCCACACACATGGGGTCATATCTGCCCTACAACTTCCTTCACGGCTCCTTCTAATTCCCATGTTGGGGTATTTATCTTTAAATGCTAACAGTTGCATAGTAAACACCAGTTTGAGTGTGTTGTGATTTGTTTAAGCACTCCTCTGTTGGTGGACATGAGACTTGCTTCCTGTTTGGAGTTTGATTGTTGGTATGACAATGCTGTGCCGAATGTCTTTGTATATGTCTCCTGTGTACCCTCCAAGACTGTGTCTAGGACAGATCCTGAGACATACACTTGATGTGTTAGAAGACAGGTACACTTAAAATTTCCAATTTTCAAATTTTCTAATTAAAAAATCAGTATGGCGGTTTCTCAGAAAATTAGGAATCGAACTACCTCAAGACCCAGCCA